ATCCAGATAACTAAGAAGTTTGTGAATTAATTTCTCCTATCCCAACTTGAATAATCTGACACACTTGCAATGAGAGAAAAAACAAAAGGAAGATTACAACCAGTACAGAGTGTTTGAACACAATCCTGTAAGTTTGTGATCTTACACTTTCTGGGACAAGTTTTTTGGGCTTTACACTATTTACACTTTCAAGAAAGAGTTGCCAATCATGTCCTTGACTGAAACATCCTCATTTGTTCAAATCCTGAAAACTACTTAGGCCTTAACTCATGGGGTTTGGTATAATTTAAAAGAAGCCTACAGTGGCCACCTACACAAGGGATGTTTCCCCCAGCCTGTGTGTATTTTGTTCACTGCAGCTGTAAGTAATAGATCACTAAACCGCAGATTAAAAGCATGTACTTGCTATAAAAGTAATTACAGACAAGATTAATCCACCTAGGAGTAAATAAGCAAATTTGGCATGTAAATCATAGTGAAAAAGAGTTGGGTTTTTTTTTAACATGCATAGGGTAATGCAGAGTCTTAAAACCAGAGTTGCTTCTTCAGCTGAGGGGAAGAAAGAAACTGTGCTAGAGAGTTGAAAGCCTTGAGTTTAAATCACTTGGGATGAGTACTGTATTATTATAAGGTTTCTACTACTTATTTAAATTTCCAATTTACTCAAAATGAGAGTCTGTAATGCACTAGTGTTTTACCTGGGTGTCAGATGGCTCTACCTACACTGGAAAGCTAAACAGGAGCAGATCCACAGCTGGTAGTGGGGACTCACACTATGCATGTGGCTGAATTTTCCAGTTTAGCCCCTTGTCTGGAGCTTAGGTACTCCTAGTACTTAGGTACTCCTTTCTGATGTTGGTTTCACCCAAAAGCCCAGTTCCTATGCTCTGACCTGAGGTGCAAGGAAAACCACAGTAAGTGGGAGAAATCAGGGAATTTGCTTTAGAAGTGCCCTTCTGATCTGATCTAAAATGCCAGCCTACCCTCACCTATTTGTACTGTTATCCTGAATAAGGGCAGCAGGAGGGCTTGATTTGTACTTGGAATCCAGCTGGCCAGGCAAAGCTGAGGACAAATTTCCCTTTGCTTTCATGGAGGCTTTGCTCTAAATCACTGCAGTTGGACACCGCTGAAGCAGCAGCTGGAATACTTATCCTGCAGTATAATTTCAGATTTCTTTGAAAAAAAGGCTTAAGGCTATGTGTAAGAGAAATTGACTTCAGTTTGTTGATTTTAATCTCATTTGAGATCGTTTTTGGGAACACTGCAATATTGGCACAGGAGGCACAATTGGGAGAATTAGCTCTTCACCATCACTCTAAGCTAATTCCATGTGTTCTGTGATGCTAAGGGAAAAGCCAACCTCCTGATGCACGAGAAATGCTCCAGAAATCTCTAGTCATTAATTTATTTCCCAACTGACTGGTATATTAAAACACAGAATAAAAGTCTATGGTTAACCAAGTCCTTCCCCTTTCCTATATCCAATCCTTGCTTTCACCAAGAAAAATGTGGGCACATGGCCTGCCAGGAAATCCTTAGCATGGTCTGCCTGGGTCTGCAATAAGGAGATGCAGGAAGCAGCATCCCAAAGCTTACTGCTGAGATCCCTCATCCACCTCTAGAGCCCTAAAAAATGAGTGCACTCAGAGAGACAGGGAATAGGTACCTGGAGGCTCATATTCTTCTTCATAAAAATTGCACTTACAATGATTCACATCACACTAATGTTCCTAAAAAGACATCCCAAACCAACACACACACACACATACACACACACACACATAAGCTCTAGTTGTGCATCTGTGTATGCATGGCCACTTAAATAAGCATCCTTATGTGGTGACACAAAGCAGCCTCAACTACCAAAAGATTTAGCAACACAAATTCTTCTCCTATAGCACAAATCCCACTAGTAGTAATTTCATCTCAAAATGGAAAGCACAGCATTACATTATTTGAGCACGAAGGCCAAATTTCCCTGGTTGGCAGTTAGACCCCAAGCTCATACAAACACAGCGGGAGAAACCTGAAATGATTTTGTTTCCTGGTGGCACTAATTCCATTGCTGGAGAAAATGTAATTATATTTATGTTGACGTTATAATGGTAACTTTGCAGGCCAGACTCCATCCTGTCTGTTAGGCCAGATAGAGCTGAAGCAGCAGCAGAGAACTAAGGAATTCCTTGGTGGCAGTGTGCCTGGAGCCCAGACAGTCATTTCAACAGGAACAGTTAATTCTGTGTAAAAGATAGTTATGATTTAATTGTGTCTCAACTACAAAACCTCTCCTTTTCAAGGAGGTGGGAATTGCAGTCATTGGTGATACCTCATTAATATATGGTGGCATTTCTAGGTATTTATTCTGGTTATTTTAATTTACAGGAGATGTGCCAGCCTATCCTATTGTTCTCTCAGTGCACTGTGTCAGTGTGAGATGTCAGTAGTCCTGAAGGATCACATTTTCATTCATCACTTCTCTTGCACAAATGGTACCACTGCCCACAGGAGAAGCAGCACTGAGGGAGGGTGTTTCAATTCAAGGCTGAAAGATTTCTTTTTCCTTTTATAATTCCTAAAGAACTCTTAGAGCTGCAACTGAACTAAATAAAGCAATTAGAAGATATAAAGAGCTAAACAACTTATGATTTTTAAAAACTTAGACTTTGGTTGAGAATAACATTCCAGGACAAGTAGAACACATTGCTTTTTTAGCAGGTTAAAAAAAAAAAACAACCAAGCACAAAAAAAACACTCCCATATTGTTTATGTCTGCTGAGCCTATTTTTCTTTGTCTTTTCCTTCCATAGTTATACAGCAGGACAAAAGCCATGGTTACAGTGCCTGTAATTAGGATACCAGCAGATGGAATAGTTAATCATGCCCCAGCTAAGCATTGTACATGTTGCTGGGGAAGTCAGCTAAGGTAGATTCATTTTTCCTAATTTAAGCATATAAAAAAGAAGCACCTGGTTTAACCTCCCATCCCACCTCCCTCTGCCTTCAGTGGGGAGGGAGAGGAACAGACAGACAAGGCTGGGCTGTGGGCGGAATCACTCGCTCCTTGGGGGTACCTCCTCCACCACCAAGGAGGGGAGGGAAGTGCTGGTCTTGCTGAAACTCAGTTTTCTCTGTTAAATTGCAATTTTATCCTTTCTTATCACACAGAAGAGGCAGAAAGATGACTGCCAGACATGAGGGCAGCCAGGGGCACACAGGAGTCACTGACAGCCTGTGCACTTCTTGACCTCCCCATCCTCCACTGCTGGACGTAGCTAAGAGAGGTGGTCAGTGTTTACATTCCAAGCCTGGGGCACAAATTCGGCTGAGCTTGGTTTTTCCATTTTCATAAATATTAAAAATATATCCTATACATGGTGGTATTTCTGGCATTCACCACACAAAGGCCTATGCAGGCACCACATTTTCATAAATGCTTCATGGTAGCCTGCATATTTCACAAGATTACATTGGCTTAAGCAGGAGGAATTTTATGGGCCTTACCAATGTTACCTGAGGAAATATAGCTCCCAAATGGTGATTTAGGTTTTTTTCCCCCTCAAAACACAGTTATAATAGGGGGGCTAATGTATGTGAACACCAGGAACAAAGTTTCTTAAAGGACACTTGAACCATTTCAGATATGGAGCTTTCAACAGCCTGTTTGTTCTTAAGTTTTGTTTTTCCTGAACTTTTTCAACTTGATTAGTATTTTGTTTAATTTTTTAAGGACAATAATACCAAAGATGAAATTCTGAAAGCAACAGAATTAAATTGTCAGAAAACTCTGCTATTGAAATCACCTTTAGTTGCTCTCAGTTTGTTTTGGTTAGTTGATTTTTACCTGGGAAGGTTTAGGAGGTCAGTTTTACTATATAATACATTGAGTTGATAATAGATGGAAAAAAAGAGTAACTCTTAAGTATGAACATAAAGTCACTGGCACTGTTAAATTCTAAAATTACTACATTAAATCTAATAGGGAGCCAGTATATAAAAATACTCAAGTTGAGTATTATGGGTCACCTCTTTCTAATTTCATTTGGAATTATTTATCTGCTTACAAATTTATTTACATTCATACTATGCAAAATATATAACATACAAGTTAGAAATGTATATATTAACTTGAACAGAATAGCAGATAATGTAAACTTCTTATTTTAATCCCCAAATCATGCCACTTGGAAAGAAAAAAAAGAAATGCAGACTGCCTTCATTTTCTGCCTTTTTCGCATTCCTTGCCAGAGCTAATTCTGCTGTACAAGGAAGAGAATTTTTGCATGGATCCTGCCCTGTCCAGAGTACTGGAAATGTCACAGTAGCACAATCATGGAGTCCCACTTCCTTTACTAGAGGAGATTGGAACAAACATCTGTGCATTGGGATGATCATCTAAATGAACCTGAGTGTGGCAGAGGCCTCCTTTAGCAGTGTCCCTGTCAAGGACTCAAGGAAATGAGGGTGTAATTTCACATGTCCGATTACAGCAGGGCTGTTCAGCAGCCAAGCAGCAGGTCCAATGTAAAAGGCAAATCAGATGTATCTCACATCTGTGGACTGGTTTTGTTGCACCTCAGCACTTCAGTACTGTATCACATAGAAAGCCTTGTATTCCTCAAGCAGAGAATTCCTAATCTGTTTACATGACATAGGTAGAAAAAAGGAGATAGCCTTTTTAGAAGTTTTATTTAGAAGTTTTATTCATTCTAAAACAGTCATCATCTGAAGCAGAAAATGTGCTTTCCTTCTTGTTCCCTTGATTTTTTTTTTTTTTTTTTTTTGTTATAATTCCTGGTGTGTCATCTCACTCTTTCAAACTGCAACATTACCAAGATATGTAATTTAAGATTACACAGAAAAGATTAAATATTAAACTAATGTACAGGTGCTTCAGGCTTTGTCTGAGCTGGGATGGATCATTCCTTCCTTCCTTCCTCCTGAGCACTGATTTCTTTAACAAAGGTTTGCTGGGACAAAAATTCACCTTCTACCAAGTGTGTATCACCTTCACACACTGTCACCTGTTTCCCTGCTCTAAGCTGCTACACAGATACTGAATACTGCACATGAACTGCTTATTGGGATGCTCCTTGTGTAAATATACAGGCTTTATTTAGCTGGCTCTCAGAAAAGCAAACAGGAATAATGGAAAATAGTTTCAGTTATTGCTTGCTGTGAACTGCCATCTCACAGCAAACTCTCATCATATAAAACCTGAGCTGTTCACAAAATTCTTACTTTTTTACCTCAGGCACCTTAGGAAATTGTTTTGAAAGGACTGAGATCCAGACAACTAAAAGGACTGTGGCTAGTAAAGATATCCTTCCAAGGAGCCACAGGGTAGCCATTCAAAACCCCATCTGCTGTGTCCCTGTTCACCTTTGCCAGATCTCCTCCAAAGGTATAAATCAGGTGGCCCAAATCCTTCAGGAGAGCTGAGTCACATTGTGCCAATAATGATTTTGCAAATATTTGAGTATTAATGAGGTGCTAACTCTTGTCTCTATGTGTTCAGCTTAGTGGTTAAGCCTGATTTTGCACACACAGAATGCACAGGAGTGTCCTGGCTTTGCATCCAAAATCCATGTTTGACATCTACCCATCCAACTCACCCCTGCAAGACACTACTGAGTCATTTCCCACTGGTCAGAGCCCCATAAAATCTCTGTACATAAAATCTAAGTGCACAAAGCAGACAGGAGAGTAACAGTGTGGTCACTCTGTACGAATGGGCATGGCTACAATAACTACAGTCAAGGGGAATTAGGTCTTATGAGTATAAATGTTGAGCTAAAGAATTAATTTTTGTTTCTCTGAAAGAGCTCACTGAGGCATAAAAATGTTCCGTAATGTTTAATCCTAAAGGGGATGAGATTTATCAAAGAAATTTAAAAGGATGATATGTTCACCTCTGGTTTTACAGGCAAAGAAAAGCCAAGAAAGTCCAAGGCACTAACAGCTTGGAAGCTATTTTTCATTCTGCCAAGCTGTTTTTCGTGCTGCTTTCATTGCCTCAAGTTTGATGCTACAGTGCAAGGCAAATCTGGTTCTGGCAAGCAATCAGTAACTTGTGATAAGCATTAGGTTTACATTTAAAGATCAAAGCAAACATACATAAACCATTTTGAGTACATACATATCCTCTGCTTTATGTCCTGGCCCTTGTGTTTATAGCCCCTCATCACTGTGTTTCCCCCTCACATTCTTAGTGAGTCCAGGGACAACTGGAATCTGTATTGAAAGGAAACTGGAGTTAATTTATTATAATACGTAGTGGGCTAGATATTTCAGGCAGAAATTCTATCCATTGGTCAGTAGATTAGGCCAGAGGAACTACAAGATCTGTTACTGTCACACTCACTGGAGGGACAATAAAGCACTGAAGTTTTTGAATAGTCACTGTGTTGTTTTTCTCCCCTCTGACAACAGCTGAATGATCAAACCATTAACAATGCACACATATTTAGACAAAATTCCCATTTATCTGACACATCCCGATGCTAGAGCTGCCCATAACTAAAACTGATGTTCAAAGATCATTGTGCCATGAGTGGGTGGAAGGCTGGCAATTTTTCCATTTCAGGGTAGGTTCCACCTACTCCTCCCAGAAGAGTAGGTCTGGTCCATGGCTAAGCAACCCACAGGTCATCCCTATGACCAAATCCTGAAACCCTTGCTCATGACTGAACTCCACATGGGATCCATTTGTACAGGTTTTTACACTTCAGTAAATCTGACCTTTTACTTCTGTTTTGTCTAACCTTTTCCACTGGATAAAAATGAAGGCATCATTTTGAACACCTGTATTGAAAACTCAGTTTTTCTGAGCATTTTATGAACAGTTCAAGAGTAAAGATTTCATCTCAGGCTCTAAATAAAACTCTCAAGACTTCGGTTTGAATAAAACTCAGTCTACTGTAAGGTAAAGTATTGAAAGTATGCTTCATTTCATGTCTTAGGAGAAACTGCCAAAGATGATTTCTGCACAGTGATTTGCACAGGTTAGGAGCTATTTATTAATCTCTATTCTATTTATTAAATGTAACAGGTTCTTCTAAAGTCACATGTATAAACAAGCAAATTGATGGCAGATCTACAATCATTTTGCAAAAGGTATTAAAAATATGCCTGTAAAAAAGTATCTAAGCCTGTTCTATATGTAGTAAACCGCTGGGGAAAAAAAGGACGCCTGACAGCTTGAAGAAACCAAGTTTATCTCCCTCAGTTCTTGGGAACCATCTAATCCATAAATAAAGCAACACCTTGTGAGATCACCTACCACACACATTTAGGCAGGCTGAAAACTGTATCTATGCCTGGATCTACAGCAGACTTGCAGCAAAACTTCAAGTTAGTTCCAGTCCACTCTTGCCAGTTCTCCTGGCTTCTCAGTGTGTGCAGAAATCTCATCCTGACCCTTGAGTTTCCTTTCAATTGACTTTTTTTTTTTTTTAATTACAAATTGTAAGATGAAAGTGTAAATAATTATTTTTCTTTTCCAAGTACCTGAAGAGTTTTAGTTTTGGTTTCTAATAATTGTCCTTTATCTAGTCCAGAAGATTGTTTTTTGATGGTCTGAAGTGCACCATTAGTTTTACACGCTCTTATACACTGGTCTGACTTAGAACCAGTCTATCTATTTTGTTACAAATGGTTTTAGTTTCCAAGTAAACCAAGTGGCAAAGCAATTCAAAACATATTGAATTAATTTAATACATTAATAACCACAACTGGCTCTAAATCAAAAAGAATTACTCTAGACTTAGAGAGTTTTATTCCTGACAGTTCTTACTTCTAAAATAAAGAAAAACATATTGGATATATTCACTTACTTTAAAATAGCAAATCAGTAACACAGGGATTAACATATTCCTTTTCTTCCTCATGTCCAAGACATTTCTTTATACAGAAGAAAATGCTTGATTTCTCTTCAATGCAAAAAATAATCCTGTAAATGCACTTTTCATGTCCCAGTGTGCAGCCACTTTGCTGAACTTTTAGATTCTACAATTAGATAAATCAGATTTCCTAGTGAAGATCTGAAGCTGTAAATACAATTTCTTTTCACTTCATTAGGGATCTGGGTAATTCCTGTCTTGGGAGCAGATCCTGTCCATGAACAGCTTCACCAGAGCAGCTGGTCCAGCCACGACCACTACACAGCTCGTGGAAGCATAGATGCCTTTGTACCTCCTTTTTTTCCCCCTGTTATATTAAAGATGTCCCACAGTGACAAGCACAGCCTTAGAGCTCTGATCTCCCAACATCAACAGAGGCCACTTGGCAACTGATACCAGCAGCAGGGTGATGCAGAACAGCAGAGGAGCACTTTCTGCAACAGTGGCTCTGCAAACAACATCTGCTGAGCTGGGGGCCAGGACAGCCCTCCTGCCTGGGTGAAGGCAGCAATGGAGAACAAGCCAAGACAGCCCAGACAAGGCTGCTGGGGACTTGTCAGCAACTCACAAACTACTGCAGTGAAGGTACCAAACCCCAGGTCTCAGTCCTTGTGAGGTGTCTGCACTCACACTTCCAAGAAGCCGTGCCCCCAGCATGGTCTGCCAGGTGGGATGGAGCAGCTCCACCACCCTCTGCCATTTCAAGAGCTCCTGCTCCATCCCACCTGGCCAGGAGCTCACCAACTGGCACTGGGTCACTAAGGTCCCATTTCTGCCACCTTGGCATGGAGGAACAGCACCCTTCTCAGGTACCATTTGCACTGGGATGATTTGGTGTTGGAGAGGCCACCAAGGAGTCAGGAGGGACCATTTCTGATTGTAACTGTGCTGGAAGGCTGGATAGCAGAACTCTGCAATGGTGTCCTTGCCAGACGTCCATGTTTTCTCAACCCTTTCCTACGTTTTCCTGGATTTTGCTGCAGTGCTCTTGCACAGCTTGCCTCCAGGACTTGACCCACACAGAGGCTGCTCCCACAACTTGCCCCTGTGACTTTCCCAGGAACAGGAATGATTTAATGTTAATGGCTATCCCTCTTCAGAATGGGTCATGGAGAGTGGAGCATAAGAGGTCATTATTGTTTAAACACTTTTGTTTTGCCTTTCTTCTCAGAAACTTTAAATCATGAACTTCCTTACACAGAACGCCCAAGCTGACAGTTTTAGGACGTGTGAGAAAGACACAATTAATTTAGTGCAAAAGATAAGACATTTCCTTGGGGAAGCACTAACACCAGGCCTATTACTCCTCAGTGTCATTGCAGATTAGTGTTCTGCAGAGAAAGGGATTCTAAATCTTTTTAATTGAAAAATGTTTCTTTTTTTCTTACTATTATAAATTTCTGCCCGGAGGTTAAAGAGTTTTTAAATTATTTCTGGACAGTCTATCAAAAAAAGGAGGATGCAGTTTGTCTCTTGCTTTATTCATTTATGTCAGACCAGAGAAAGGAGAAATATATTCTTCCGGTGACACAAATGAAATAGTTAAATAAAGAGATGCTTAGAAATACAAAGCCCAGACATCTCTAACGTTAAGATCGTGAGCTGTCACCAACACATCCACATGTAGGAATACATGCCATAATTAAACAAAGTGGAAGGATAATTATCCAAACACAGCGGTGGAAACAACAGTTAAGAGAAGAATTTTACTCAGTTTCTCTCACCTTTTCTGGCTTCAAGTTTGAAAAACATCAAAACCAATGATTTTAATCCATCTAGGTTACTTGACTCATAAGTCATAAAATTACCTCAAGAAAAGAAGAAGATGCAAATATCCTTTTACCTGTAGCATATCCTGAGTAGGAACATTCAAAACTGTGACCTGGACTTGCTCAGTCCTTGATCCATGGCCTTGGAGCAGCCCTTTTTTTATCCCAGATGTGTTGGATGAGAGTTGAAGCAAAGTCCTGGCTTTGGGTGGTGTAGGCACTAACCCCAGGAGCCTCCTGGAAAGCACAGCTCCCTTGGGTGTCAATAGCCTGCTGGAAGACAGGAGTTAGTTAATTCCCTATTTATATGTTCATTTAGCTACATGGCTGCCTGGCTATCTTTTCTAGAGCTCCAAACAGAAAAGCATTGCCATTTTAGGGGCAGCATATTTTAAAAGACACTCTGCAGGTGAATGTTTCTGTAGATACTAGTCTGCCACAGTCTTTAGGGAGATGAACAGCCCACAAATCATTTGTGTGTTAGGGTAGTTTGGGATTTTTTGTCTATGAAAATCCTTCCAAACAACTTTATTCTCTATACTTCTCCTAATTATATGATTATGTTTCCTCTGATCTGTACTGAAGAAAAAATATTTTCCTTTCCTAATTCAATCCTTAGCCCTTGTTTTCCCAACCTCTAGTTTGCCAGAAATGTGATTTCTTAAAAAAAAAAAAAAAAAGGAAAAAAAATCTAATTAAGCCATTTATCAAACTTTTCCAAGTGGGTAGAGTGACAAATTAGCCCTATCTTCCACCAACAATCTGATGGATGGGAAGATAAAGATGCAGAGGCTGTTATTTTAGCTGGAAGCTCTCCACTATATCAATGGCTTGGCCCCAAGCCAAAAGACCCTAAGAGCTGACAAGGACTAATGATGGGTTCATGAAGTTTATGCAGCGTGAGGCCTGACATCAAAGGAATGCAGTCTTATTAGCAATATCTCTATGCCTTCTCCTTGGAAAAAATACTATTTTGTTTTTTCAAAAGATTTTACTTAATCATTCTACTCTTTCAGCAAATGGAAAGAAAATTAAAACTGTAAATAAATTTGCACAGCAATATATGGCTGATGAGTTCTGCTCTTCTCTATAAATATGAAGTGATTGTTACGACTTTTAAGTAATGTCCATCAAGAGAGGCTAAGACAGGTAGACTGCAAATAAGTTTCCCTAGAAGTCTTTCCTTTTACCACTATTTGCTTGGGAATATTTATATCCTTCCCAAGTATTAACTCTTGGTGGTTTTAGGATAGGAGTTGGACATTGGGCCTGACTGTGACAGCATCACCCTCAGTCTTTGTAACTTAGACCTTTCTCCCTTCCCCTAGTGTTTTTATTTTCATGTGCACCATTTTGACATGAAATGGAAACCCTGTGTAGAAGGTGGAATGCAATTACTACCTGATTGGAAAGCAAGAAAAGAGGATATAACAGCCAGGATGACTTCTAAGAAAAATCAAACCAACAACTCAACAACAAAAACCTCTTTTGATATCTCTGTTTGACAAAACAAGCTATTTCTGCAGATACTACATGTTACTCTGGACTAGAAGTAAAATCCATGTATTTTTATCTGGAAAACTATTTAAAGGCTACGCTTGAGGCCCCCTTCTTTATAACCTTTTTTCTCTCTTGTGGAAATAGGACAGTCTTCAACCTGCTGGCACAATGAGAAGCTTTTGTATTGCTTTATCAAATCCAGCTGCAGTAGTCCTGCATATTCATATACCTGATTTACTTGATTTATCTTTTCAACAGAACATTTTTACAGGATGGAATTAAAAACAATACTGCAATGATGACAGCACTGGAAGTCAGTGCAAAGCCACATTCAGCACATGCTACAGTATTTTACCTTACTTTCCAGTCTGGATTTAATAGTATATGTGGAAGGAGCACTATGAAAAACTAGGGATGTCATCCATCTTCAACCTTCCTGTTTCTCAACAAACTGCCCTGGATTATCCCTCCTCTGTTGCTCCCGATCCATCACCAACGTGCTCTGAGTGGCTGGGCACTCCTGCAGCTTTTCTTTCTTGTTGCTTTTCCAAAGGGAATGTGTCATTACATCTGCCATGCTGCTTTTGACCCTGGGACATCAAGGCAATTTACATCCCACTAGGATATCCACAAGCTCTGATGGTTTTGGGGAAATACAAAAAGCTTGGAATCTGTGAGGTCCAACACAAACAATCATGGAAAGAACAAAAGAGAACTTTAAAATACTACAGCCTTACCTGGTAATGGCAAAACCAGGAATTAAAATTCTGGTTGAAAAGACCACAGTAATTAAATTTTTTTATTCTTCCTGATGCATTTATTATCTCTAAGTTCCTAATGTACTTTCTTAGCTGCTTATTGATAACAGGGCTGCTTAGGAACCATATTCTTTCCATGACATCCTCTTGCAACACTTGGAGTGAAAACCTAAGTAAAGAAAAATGTACTGTTTGAATTTTTCTACTTAGAATTGAGGTTTTTTTTTTTCAATAAAAATGAAGTATTATGGCACTATGCAATTAAGTGTTCAAATGTCATTGCTTCTAACTTAAGAAGAAGGCTCCTTGAACAAAGAAGCTTAAATGCAAATTGGAATGAAATGGAAAAAAAAAAAAAAAAAAAAAGGGTTAGTGCTGAAGTGGCCAATGAACCAAACTGTTTGCTTACTTATAATTAGCAGCATGATCATTGTCTTGCTGCCCTGGCACTCTGTAAATATGCCTGGGGAGACTGTGATTTAAGATTATTTAGAAGATTTACTCATTATTTAAGATTTATTCATTACCTCAAGAGACAGGTAAAACAACAACTCTCTCAATCACTCAGGTTGGTTGGGGGGTTGTGGCTACAATTCAATCCTATTTATCCTTCCTTCAGTAAAATAAAGGATTTGCCTTTTCTTTAAACATGGCTCCAATTACTGAATAGAACAAACTCATTCAGAATTCCAAGCTTCAGATTTTTCAAAGGTTCCTGAATCTCTCTCACATTTTAGCAAACAAGATTAAGAAATTTTGTTATGTAATTTACAATTTATTACACAATTCAATGAAAGACCTTAAAAATGCTTAGCTACAAAATAAATAATAATAATAAAAAACTTACTCCACCCTGCATTTGTCTTTTATTTGCCAGATGACCAGTTTGTTTTACTTTCTTAATACAACTTTAGAAAATAAAGCATGTCTGTACATGTACAGTTCCCACCTGGAAGCACAAACTTTAGCAGGAAACCCCAAATTAAAACATAAACTCACCTTTCATTTCTGTTCAAAGGTAATGTATAATTCAGGTAGAGCTGAGGTATACTCACATAATTTGCCTTTAAATGCTGCCCAATAGATTCTGTGATAAACCTGGCAGAAGGAAAGTGAAAAACAGACAAGCAAACCAGCCCACTGCTACTACAGCTAGAGAGGGAAGTGCACAGGTTTACAGATCAGATGGAATTTGGGCTGTTCCATCGTGCCTGTGAAAGTGAAGTGGAAAGATGGCAAATGAATCAGAGTGCAGAGATACTGCTCAGCTATGGCAGTGAGAATACACATTTCAGCCATCAAAGGGATCAGGTTTGCATTTCTCTTGATTTTTTTTCTTCCTCTAAATCATACTATTATTATGTCTTTTCTCAACTTCATTACAGTCTCTTGCACTGGGAACAGCTTCTGATTTTAATATGGCTTCACATGAGTATTAGAACAGAGATTTTGCTCACTAAATGATACATGAAGAGAATAATGATTTCAGATCTGTATCTCCTATTTTAGCTATTTCCACTACCAGGAAGCGATGGGCTGACCTACTTATGTGTTACAAAAATAGCCAAAAATCTTTAAGCAAAATCAATTGCTGAGCTGAACAGAAATGGAGAGGTGTAGTGTGCTCACAGCATGAGCCCTTTGGTACCCATCCCAGCACTGCTGTCAGAGAACACCCTTCATGCATGGCCCAAACCAACCTGGGCATTGCTGAAAAACTCAAAAAATTTATTTTTAAGAAGTGACATTAAAGGCTGAAAAACCACTAAGGAGTTTGGTGGGCACCACTCTGCAGGCCTGAAGAAGTAGACTGGAGGCACCAGATCTGGAGCCCCAGTGAACCTGTGTTCTTTCTACAAAAAATGCCTGATTTTACACCATTCCACCTGCCTGCAGAGGTTTTTGGTGCTTGCTTTCTTTACAACTCGAATCTAGGTGCTGCAAATCACTTCTGCAATGATGATAACTTGCACAAATCCTTTCAGTGTCTCTCTCATCACAGCCACTGCAGAATTCTATAACATAATTTATTGTATCTCCTTTATTTTGTAGTGTTTGCTGTTATCCCAGGAATGAATACCAGACTCTCTGGAGGCAAATGGACTTTCTGTGCTACGAAGATACAGTTCCTTACCAGAATGCTCAGCTGAGTCTCAAAGCCTTTACAGAGCATAATAACTTCACTAGATGGCAGTGGAGAGAAATATTACTTCATATATCTATATTTTTTTAATAGGAGAGGTACACATCCCAGCAAGTCCTGTTTATGTTTATGAGTGCTGTGTGTGTTAACACTACATCACAAGACAGCAATTCTCTCACCCACACAAAAGTCCAGGGGCTCCTGCCCAGTTAAATCTCCATGTAAATGTTTGGGAAAGCACAGACACTCTTCCAGCACTAATGCAGGTTGCAAGGAGCAACATGCAGTCCCTCTTTGAAGGGTTTTTCTTATAAGCTCAACTGCACCATGGTCTTTCCTGAAATCCCAGGTAAAGATAAGTTCTGAGAAGAAAAAGTTTTCAAAAGAAAACTTTCCTGAGATGTCAGAGACACTGTCCTTCAAAGAATCTTAACACTCATGCCATAAACATGATGAAGAAAATGAGTGAAGAGTAAGAATGAGAAAGCAAATAGTTGAAGGAGCTCTGTGAGGACTACTCTACATTCAATAAAATCCTTTTCATTCATAAGAAATCCTTACAAATACATGTTTCTTGGCAGAACTCTATGGTCTCTTACATGTAACTCAAGAAACAAAGCATAATTTTTCAGACTTCTGACAAAACTGCAAGATGAAATACCTGAAGCAGCAAGTTCTGTAACTTCTAAGGTTCAAAACCTTCAAAAATCCAATCTTTTGAACACAGAGAACTGATGCCTGCCAGTCTTTGGAAATTGATACAACTGGCCAAAAGTAAAGAACTAAAATAGAGTGGATGATTTCAGCCAAGTGCATTACTTCAATTAAGAGTTTATCACTAAAGTTCTCTAAAACAATGGAGTTGTCTAGCTTTATTTAGAATGCTCAGAAAACACAAACTATCATTTAGTACAATAAGGAAACAAAAAAAAGTTTAGTTTCTTCTAGTATCAGATGTAAAAAAAAAAAATTCCTAAAGCTTATTTCTGGCTGTGGGAGAAATATTTAAAAAAAACAATTCACTGCCTAAATCACACTTCTCTAAGCTATTCTTGCCTTTATCTTAACGATTTCCAAGACTTTTCCCTCAGAGAGCAATACATTGTCCTCTGGCATCTCAGCTGCTCCCTCACCAAACTGTTTGCAATAGCAAGCAGAGATTCAGGATATTGAAAGTGCTGATAAAAAACAAACCCAGTTGTGTTGCAAGTGACTTCTTGACATATGCCTGCTAAGCACAATTCAAAGGCTTGAACTTTTAAAGTCATAGTTCTATCTATTTATTTTTGTGTAAATACAAGCAGATGAGAAACAATTCCTTATGGCATTTCAATATGTGAGACTTCTCTTACTTTTCCTCCCCACTGGCCACTGAGAAACAGAAATATCTGGAGGTGCAAAGCCCCAGGGTTTTGTTAGTGACACAAGGAGTGGTATTCTCTGCATCTCTGGTCAAACAAAAACACATAATACACAAGGCTGTCACATAAAGAACAACTTGTTGCCTAAATCACCTTGATAGAATAAAGAAATAAATTACTGCTCCCCAAGCATCAAGAGATGGAGATTTCTAGGAAAAACCCGTATTTCAGATTCCCCCAGATGTAGATACCATAAATAAACACTCTAATTTGATGTATATGTGGAACTAAATACATTTGGTAGAAGTACAAAAGACCAACCTGACAGAACAGTGATGCCACTTCTGCTCACTCCAACCCCAGTCAAAGGGAAGTAATTTTATTTCATCACTAACATTAGAGAGCTTCATGTTGGATGCTCTGGATGATACCAGTATGCAATAAGACAGTCAGGTACCCTGGAAAAAAGCCAGAAGTCCTCTCTAACAGTCTAGATAATGACAAAACAGCCCTTTTAGTTTATTTATTGCACTCATTCAGCTCCTCTTTTTAAACTCTTTAATTTCACCTTACACAAAAAGATCTCAATTGCAGAGTAAAGAGAACTGTTACACCGTGTCCTTCCCACTTTCTCCCCAGTGCACTCATAAATCACAGTGCTGTGGGTTTGCCTGGAAGCTGTGCCATCCTGTTAGGTTTAATTAAGTAGCCTTAAAGTAAGTGGCCAATCAATATTGATTCATGTGGGTCTCACTGCAATAAGTCATCACAGTGTCTGAAGGCATTGCTGATGTGAATATAATACCTTGCCTCGGCCTGTCCACATTCATGGCAAATGAAGATTAAGAGTGAAAAGAAAACACTCACTGAGCTATTTTCTCCTCTATAACACGCATCTGACGGAACACAGAGCAGAATCTCTTCCTTTTCAAAACTCTACAAATATCTCCCAGCCTATTTAGTTTACACTTAATTCCTCTGCACAGAACTTGAGTTTTGTACTGCCACAAGCTATGTCGTGACCTTCATTTCCTGAAGTTTGGATTTGAAGCTGATAGATACTGATTAAATCTGACCATAACCTGCACAACACACAGCTTGCAATGAGGCCTGGAGATTGCTGTATGATAGTTATGATAAAATATCATTACAGTAAGATCTTCCTTATCAACTCCAAAGTATAACTGTGTAGCAATCAATTAAAGGTATTATTAAGCTGACTGGCACTTGCATATCAATATCTAAATTAAATTGATCTAACTCTGTGGAACTTGCTCAGACTTCCTAGCACTTCAAGCAAGTTTCTCTCTTCTCTAAAGGGTTTAATTGTCCCATGTCTATAGGTGATTTTTTTTGGCATAGCCTAACTAGCTGACATGGGCCATGAAGACTAATCTATTTTAAAGCCTCTCAGTTATCACCTGATAGGTGCACAATCTATTTTTATTCCCCACCAGGCCACTCCAAAGATTGCTCAAGTCTGAAGCTCTACTTTAAAATTACTGCCTACTTTTACAGCAAATTACATTACACCTTGATGGGGTCCTACAGCTTCAGTAACAGTGAAACAGAACAGAAGACAGAGTGCCAATTTACAAACTAAACTCAAGTTTTATATATCAGTAAACCATGATCAAAGTGGATTATAACAAAAACCCCTTACAAACAAGTATTTACCACATAAGCAGTGAAATAAGGCATTTTTATTAACAATCCCAAATCAGGTCCCTCCTAGAAACATATTTAATCTCACAGCCTCTGATTGTATTTGCATTACCTTTCCTAGCTAATATTTAAAAATAAATATTTGACTTAGAGATATATAGAGCTTATTTAGTTCTGCTTTCTTTCACCAGCAATGAAAATCTGCAGTGCTGTGCTGCTTGCTACAGGTTGTAGATGTGAGTTTTCAGCTTGTACATTCACACTCATTGTGTTTACTATGCAAAACAGTTGTAAGAGTATGTGGGAATGAAAAGCCCTAATTTTTGTGGAATCTAATCATTTGTATAAATTTTACTTCTGAATTGCTCTGGAAACTTGAAATTGTCACATAATTAAGAAAGCCATTCAGATGTTTTTCCAGTTTTTCATTTTCTGGCTTTGATGCATTTGCCACTGGGGTTTTCACAGAATATTCAGGTTTCCAGATGGTTTCGTTTACATTTCTAAGTTTGCCATCGTGTGGAGCTTGGGTCTCAATTGCAGGTCACACCTAACGAGGGGACATCTAGAAAATGAAAAATTCCTAGCACCTCTGTGGTTAGCCCTGTTGAATAATTGCTGCAGTAGCTGAATTTTGCTGTACAGATGTTGGTAATTTGCTATTGAAAACCACCAGTATCAAACTGTCAGAGTCAAGAAATGGCTTTAATTATTTCCTCCCTGGAGCAGTAATAGCCATTGCTAGAGCACTGCCAAAGCTGGAATGTGTTTGTGTGGGTGATTTCTTAGCACATGGAGTGCAGGCAGCTTTACCTGCACTCGCCAGCCCTTTGCTCCCTCCTTGTGGAAGGAGATTGCTTCAATCAGGCCAGATCATCTGGAGACCACCACGAGCTTTCCTCCTTTTCCCTGGCCACCAAAGACTAACATTGTTTTTCTGCTTCATTGAGTCCTGAAAATAGAAGATAAATCAGACAGAAAGACCTTGGAACTAAGGGTAAGAGGAAAAATCTTTTCTGGGAGGGAATAATTAAACAAAAATATCAGAAGCTATGGGAATTTGATGAGAAATTGTACTGAGAAAGAAGGTGAGGTCAGCAAGGCTACTGTAGGAGTCTCCTCCTCACTCTGCATAAGCACAGCCTGGGGTCTCCCTTCTTGCAGCACTGGACACAAATAAAATCAGTCAAAACCACACAGCTTAAAAAAATATATTAAAATTCAGGAGCAAGTCAAAATATTTTTACCATTTTCCATCAATTTCAACATTATTCTCTCTGCTTCATCAAATAGATCCAAACCATAGAAAAATTAAAAACTGATGTTAATGTGAACATTTCCACAGGAGCCTGCAAAGGGCTTTGGCTGGTGCTTCAAAAGAACTAAAACCCCTCCAAAATAACTTTTGGGCTAGGATGTTTTATTCCTCATTCCCATGCTGTATTGATTTGGGAAGACAATCTAACCTCTGTACCTCCAAAAGCTGTCTTGTCTCTGAAGTGGGATAAGGTTCTTGTCCCTAAATAATCTGAGGACTTTTTGTGCCTCTGACAGAGAAGTGCTGAAGTAAAGTTTTCCTGAAGTCTGGAGGAGTTTGTCTCCTAGAAGAGCAGGGAACACCGAGGGTGTTCCTGGAATATCCACGTGCTTGGCCAGCAAGGAGCTGCTGTTCCTTTGAAGTGCTCACTTTGGATATTTGTGGATATTTGTGCATATGGAGACAGGGTGTGTTTTCCCACATGCAGCAACCTTTCCTTCTGCTGACTGCACAGCCCAGCCCAATGTCACAAGTGGGGCATCGATGCTCTCTGGGTTGCTCCAGAAGGGAGAAGCAAACATGGTTTATAAAAAAAGGAGGAACACGATAAGGAAAATCAGTCTAATGAAATATACTAGAAATAATTACCAGCTTAAAAGCTTTTAAGTTATTAAGAGCTCACCTTTAAGTTGTGAGCACGTTTGCTATCAATTTATCTAATGCTTTTAAGTACTAGCAAGGAAGAGGTCAAGAATGTTTTAGCTACACACGGATTTTCCTAGAATTTTTTTTATTTCCTTCCTTTTTATATCAGCAATAAAATTTAAAAATCTGGGGGGAAGAAAAAGAGAAACAGTCCATATTTTGAAACAAGCAGCTCAGAAGGGAGGAAAAATGGGATTTCTTCGCATCCCAGTGAAGTCAAGACTAGCAGGGTTTGCTGAGTTTGAGAGGCATTGAGATACTTTTTCAACCCAACTTGTGCAGTGAATATTTCTCTGAGGTGATCACTTGTAATTGCTGCTGCTGGTACCACAGCACAGCACAGATAACCAACACCATCTCTCAGCAACAAAGGCCGACTGACCATCAATGAAAGATATTCCAATACTGCTCAATAGAGGCTGATGATCAATAACTATTAAAGTTCTGCTGTTCTCCCTCCATGACAGCCAAGAGCATAAATAATAATGAGTTCTGAAAAGCTCCCTGGTTGTCTCTGCATGGGCAGGAGCTGTTCTGAGCGCAACAGGCACGTCTTGTGTGTGGCACATCTCAACCACAAAATTGATACCTACAGACAGTCTGGTGTCATCAACATCCAGCTCACAGCTGAAACTATTTTGGAGTTTTGTTAAGAATGACAAGATTTGCTAAATGGAGATTAGTGATTAAAATGCTTAAGCCTTTCTAAGTCCTCACACAATGTGATGGCAAATAAGTCTTCAAAGAGATTTATTTTTGTTCCTAGCAGCTGGATATCTAGAGCCTGCCGTTCCTGAGGGAGTCCCAGAGACCCACTTGATGATGGGAGTGTTTCACAGCTGTAAGAGACTCAGATTGTTAAACAATGACTCGAGCTGGAACATATTTTAGTGACTAGACTCTGCAAGCCCTGAGGTCCCTAATTGCCTGCAGGCAGCCTGCTTATCACTGCAAACCTGGAGCTCCCATCTTCTAAGATGAGGCAATGAAAGTCTGTCTTGAACAAGGAATTCAATAGCAAAGAAATTATTCCAGGAAAAAACCCAACAAGAACACACCTTTTCACCCCATTTTTCTGCTGTCAGAGGGGCAGGTGGACTGGGGGCCTCTTGACATCAGGAAGATAGATCCTTTACACTTCCATAGGAAAGCTGCTGTGAAAATTAATTGTTTTCCTTACCTACAGACAACACTTATTTACTCCATTACAAACACTTCCATTTTGAATTTGAATAGAAATTAAACCTGGACAATGCCAGAGGAACATTTGGGAAGTCACAATGACAGAAGCAAAGCTTTTGTAAAGCACGTTATAAGCCACATTTAAAAATCACTTTGAAACACTCATCAAAGATTTAATTATGGACTCTATAGTGATCTGTATTACCAGGCCTTGATTATTTCTGCAAAATAAGCTACATTTACTTGCACATGATGGAAATGTAGATTTAAATAGCTTCAAAGTATTATAATTAAAATTAAATCACCATAAACAAAATTAATGAATAACATTTTCTGGTTCATAGCCCTAGTTTTTAGGGAATTTGTTCACTAGCTGATTAGAATGCCAAAAATGGTCATTTTCTATCATGTAATTGAAATCTAACTATGCAAAAGTCCAGTACAGCCTTGAAATCAAAAAAAATCTTACAATCTATTTTGCTTTGACAGAAGATAAATACATAAATAACAATTTTTAGGAGGCAAAAAAGATCCTTGCTAAATCTGGCATATTTCTAAAATTTCTAAAAATAATTTAAGACTGTTTCCCAGATTTCTTGTTTAATTTGGTTTTAATTCTGTAGCAAGATATTCTGGGGGATATTGTTCACATTAAATGCATTTGCCTTAAAAAAACCTAATCTTATTCGTATTTCAGGCAGTGACAAAAGTACAATTAATCAACAAAAGAAAGAGCTACAATTCCCCTTGAAAATGAATCTTTTTTAGAATGTCACATCTAATTGCCACGTGATAAAACCTGGTGTGACACTTTGGGTCAAGGTGAAACAGCATTTTGTATCACAATAATGAATTATTCCTCTGTTTTGACATGTTTTAGTGCTATGCATGTTTTTTGTTAGTTATTTACAGTGAGCATCATGCTGTCTTGCCCTAGCCCCATACAGCAATTTGACACAAACCAATTCAAGTTCTACTTTGACATTTTTGCTTCCCCAGAAATGGAGATTATTTGGGATGTCTGACTGACTGTACAAAAAATAATTTGCTTGTACAGTGACCGTAATTTCCAAGCACCCTTCACATCTTAAAGGCAGAAATATTCAATGCTTTTGAATTTAAAAAATGCCAATAGTGACAACTTTGAAGCCATTAGGTCTGTGTCACTGTGCCAGAAATCAGACTGCTGGTAGCATGCCAGCAGTTCACAGGGCAAGAGCAGCTGAGGGAATATGAAGAAACTTCAGCTCTGAAGGCAGGTGAGGTCAATGTGTTTAGAATTACCTGAGCAAAATAATAGAGAATAAAAAAGTTATTCCTATGCAAGAGGGAAGATACTTTAAATGAAAACCACTCATTAAAAATGCTACTGCTCATTTCCATGGAATAAGTGGAATACCTCAAAGCACTCTGTGCCCTTCAAACATATTTACAATAAAGGGATATGCCAGGAGAGAAAATTACTGGTCCCATTTCTCCAGGGACAATGCTGAACCAAGGTTTCTCCCTAAAAATGTCTTAAATTCCTCAGAAAAAAAAAAAAAATCCCACTTACGTCTTTTCTGCAGTAATCTGGCACAGTTCCTTCCTGTGTATTTCTTGATAGAACCGTCAGGGAACCTCTCTTCCTAGCTGGGAGTGAAGTTGTCACCTTCTCAAGAGGCCGACACACAAGACTGCTTAAATTGATCCTCCCTCCTCTGCAAGGCCTCGACTTCCATAAGAATGAAAACCAAGAAAAATCTCACCCATCTGGGGATGGAGAAATTGGGGAGCTTTTTTCCCCCCTTCTGGGTGACTCATTACTGCAAGTTCCAGCAACTGCTGGCCTTCAGGTGGCTTTTCCCATCAAGTAGAAATAGATGTAGATAATGATGAATTTAATTACCACCTGAAGCTCTTACAGGATCAGGTCTGGAGAGAAGTAGATTTCAGTGTGTCCTCAGCTGTGGAACGAGAGACAGGTGCAGACTAAAAAAATAAAAAGGCCTGTTCTAATCACTCCTCTTCAATGCAGCTGGTTTAACAAGCACACAGAGGTTTTTTGGGACCCTGCTTGGAAAATGGGAATTTTCATCTCTTTGTTCTTAACATACTGTGCAGGAAGGTCACTTGTTCTGGCAGTGGCTAATGTGTGACATCTGAGCAGCTCCTTAGCAGGGTAAATTGCTGCAGTTCAGAGGTATAAATAGCCCCAGCAGCACTCACCAGCCAAGGAGCTGCTCAAAAATGCTTCTGATTAATTTCCTATTACTGGGTTGGTCCTTCCAATGCCTCTAGAGAACTTCCTGGCAGTGCAGTGAAACCCCATTTACGGAGTGGCATTTCCACAGTTTTGCCTTTGATTGCCAAGCCAACGATTGATGCTTCCTATTGATCACATTTCCCCACCTCTGCCTGCGGTCTCGGCAGGGAGCTGACTCAGGAACCTTCCCAGTGCAATCTGGACTGGGCCCATGCAGATGAGCTGTGGCTTTCATGCCTCCTGTCCACCATCTGCTCATTTCTCCCCCTGTGTTTGTCCATCTGTGGAGTCCACTCCATGTGTGGAAGGACTTTGTGCCCTTCTTCCTCTGGCACCTAGGGCTGGGGGATAGAAATGTCCTTCACTTACAAGTGTACATGTGTGACTCTTAACTCTTAAAGAATTTCTTGTTCAGCAGCATTTGAGTGACCAACAAACACTGATTAAAATCCCCTGTTCAAGTGGAGCATTTTCTGATAATTTGGCTTTAAATACCATTGTAGCACATGTGGCATTTACAGTCACAAGATTTATTCACTAAAAGCAGTTGCAGAAAGGGGTATTTGAGCAGCAGAACTCAAAATTCACACCACAAGCCTCAGAGTAGGGTCTTTTTCTACAAGGTTGTAATATCAAGGTTATGATCTCCATTTTTCTGACACCCATATGAGTTTTGATGAAGTGTAACTAAACTCACCGAAGCTCCTGATGGAGAATTCCTGCTGTCCTCAGGATAGGCCAGTGCCAACAAGTGATGTAGTTCCTGTATCCATGTATACAGCTGAGATTTTACTTCAAGCTAGGGAAAATGGAAGCAGCTGGAAGGCAGAGGGACAGAAGATTCTTTTAGGGCTTCTCTCCCAAGTCCCAGTGACCAGCCCCAGGCTGGTCAATGGAGATGGGCCAGGGGCAGGACCCTGAGTCGGTGTTTTAGGCGCAGTCCTTGCCATCCCTCTGCTTCCTGGATGTTAGCTCAGCATCAGTGCCACAGAAAAGCAAGTAGCAGAGACATGGGTAAGAGGGGAAAAAAGAAAAAGACGGTATTTATGTCCAATTTTGGGCCACAGAGTGATAGAGCGGAGACGGAAAAGCGTTCACATCCCAACCTGCCTGTACTCCATCTGTTTGCAACAAGATACTCAGTCCCTGTGTAAAGCAGAGGGAAAAGGGATGGGTTTGTTTTTTTATTATACACTCATGTAGATTTTGAAAGGAAGAAACCAAGCAAGCCAAAATTAAATATAATTTTCTCTTTTCCCCCATAGACTCAGCCTGGATGAATGCCAAACCACATTTTGGAGGGGTGAGAAAGGCCCAACATCTGCTTCTGGTGTAACTGTTTGTATCTTCACTCTAAGAAAATTAGGTTTGAAATAATCTCAAATTGTCTGACACCTGTATCCTATTAGAAGTGACACATGGAAACACCTTCAGCATACTGAATTTAGCACCATGTCAACAGTTTAAAGTGAACAGGAAAAAAAAACAAGGTAAAACTCATTGCCTCCCAGTTTCTGCTGGAGCAGACCTTGTGTCATTGCACAGGATCCTACTGCAAGCTGGATCCATAAATGTAATGGGGTTTGAAGCAGTAATTATAATATGGTTTGTATCCCTGGCTGTAGATGGAATTAAATTCAGCAAGGCATCTCAAGGTGACTGGAGGATTTTGAGCTCAGTGCAGGCACACCTGTGGGCTGGGTACCAGCCAGCACGTAGGACATGGATACACAGCAATTTCAGGGACATTTTTTCCTGCAGCTCAGGTTTGGCATCTTGCAGCTCACCAGACTAGCAAGCAGGGATGGATTTTTAACTCCCATCCTAAGCCTATGTAACCTCCCACTTGCAAGTTCCTCACTTTTAGGAACAGATCTGGTGACCTTTTCCCAGATAAGACGCTGACAATAAGATCCAAGGTATTCTGAGAAGGACATTTGTTAAAATTCATAAAACTTTATGACTACTATAAAATTTATACTACCTAAAAATACACTATCTATTACAAAGACAAATGTCTTCCCATTTATTTTTAAACATGTTCCTTGGAGAACTTTGAATTGATTTGTTTTGAGAGACTGTTCTTCATATTAGTCTGGGAGAAAAGGAAACTGTTTACTTTTTAAATAGTGTTGTTTTTCAGCAAATCTGCATCTTCAAGGAGCAATATCTAGAGTCAAGAACACAGGACACATTGCATTTCAACATGAATTATGGCATGCTAATAAAAAACATGTTAAAAATAGAAAAATGGCAATAATGGAAAGACAGACAAATAACACTGAACTATTTTCTAAGAGAAAAGTGTGCATGCAAGACCCTGTAACAGGAAAAAGTGTCAAGTACAATTTAGGCTCATTTTTTGCCCCAGGACAAGCCAAACACACTTTCTGGATGGTGTGGAACTATGAAACTAAACAGAAGATAATATGCAATATTTTACATGCACCCATAGCTGAAAAAGACCAGAGAAAACCTGGAAAGGTTAAATTTATTCTAAAGGCACTTCACAGAAATTTCAAGCCTTCTTAGATTTGTTAATAATAGCAGCTGAGTCACTTCTTATTTATTGCTGTAACATGACATACACTGCTAAGGTCAAAGTCTCCTAAAATGTTTTAAGATCTGCTATTGGCCATTTTCTTACCTCATTCATGAAAGCTGCCTTATAGCTTCCTTCATAGATGGCCCCAACGCATGGCAACACAACCATCAACACTTTCTGATTTATGTAAATGTTATGCAGTTCATCTTCCTAAAAATTCATTGGCCTGGAAAAATAAAAGGGTAGTTCACCTAATATTTTCAGTGGAAAATGTTTATGACAATATGATTATGGAGAAAAATGCAAGCAGACCAAAGTATAATAATATATAAATGGACATTTTCAATGCTATTGATCTGTTTTTTTTCCTTCTAATTTGCATTCAGGAAGGCTAAAATGAAAGCAACCAATCCTATCCACTAACTGAGTAAACTTGTGGTGTCACTCAGAGCAATGCAAGATTGAATTCCAATTTAGCTGGAATTTCAAGAGTGGTTCCTGGAGTTCCTTTGGAGAATAAGCATGTCTGAGTAGGGCTGTTTTCTGCCAGCCAATCTCGTGCTTGGTTTCCACAGAATAAATTCAGTGTACATTTATCTGGCAGAAGTTACTCAGCCATTGTGAGCAATTCGACCGCAATGTGTTATCACCAGCAGATATTTTTCTCCACTGAACATACAAATGCAACTTTTTTTTTCTGAGAAAATGTGGTTTTGTTGCTCTCAGACACAATTTGAGGAAGGATCACTCATATGCTGACATTATGGCTAAACATTGATGTTGGTGTTATTTGGATAGCAGATCCATAACATACTGCATCTATCAAACAATTACCTTGTCACTAGCTCTTTAAAATCCAGAAATATGGAAGTGCACAAGCATGATCCACGCCATTCCCCACACCGATAACTTGCAGCTGGAAACCAACAGCTTAATTTCTACCTTGTTGAGCCACAAGACATTCTGAGAATTCACTATGCACAGGAAATCCAGACTTCTAAAAATGTTTCTTGGCTGATTCTCTGGGCTTCCAGTAGATTTTTATTGCACTCTAACACAGGGATTGCATCCCTAAACCTATAATGCTGAAGTTATTCTGAATTTGGTTATTGGTGTCTGCTGAAATAGGACTGAACTGCAGCATATATTTTTCCTGACATAGAATAGCTGGTTTTATACTATGATTACATACAAAGTCTTCATCATTCTCACCACAATAAATTAATTAAAGAAATGAGAAAGCAAAATCCATTGATGACATGAAATTTATTCCTTCGTTTCTATTCTTTCCTTTTTTAAATGACATCTGTTTGGTACAAGAATCCTGCTCCTCAGTAACCTAAAAGCAGCCAGCATTAACTTGTCATTCTAGCAGGAACACTTATAGCAAACATATTAGGAATCACATAATGTCATTTGCTCTATTATGGTGTGTTTGGATAGGAGCTGTGAAGTTGCCGTTTTTCACATCTTTTCAGGATTTATGAAGAAAAAGCCCATAATTTTACTGTTTTCATTACCTCACCGTTTTCCTAGTGACTTGCCCAGATTTGCTAATAGAAATAACAACACCCCCTAAGTCCACCATCTTACTTCTCCAAGAGTGCAAAGGAGCACAGACAGGGGGCTGTGTCAGCCCTAACAACACCAGGAGTTTCAAACATTGCAGTGGTGTCACTAAATTGAATTTAGACATGCTCTCAAATGCCATCAGTTACAAACTGCTCCAGAGCCATCCCCGCCTGCAGCAGCCTGTTGGATTGTACCTGGAGATACGGCATGGACATTACCAGTGGCCTGGCCAAGTGCTGCTGGGTGCAGTGCTCAAGGTCATTTCCAAGCCCACCTCTGCACGCGCTGGGTGATGAACGGCTGCGCTCAGCCGTGCTGATGGGCCCATCCTTCTCACAGGCAGTGACCAACACTGAGCAGCTGGCAGCAAGGCTGCTCCATCTTCCCACTGCTCAGGGGAGGAAAAGAAAAGAAAAAGGCCACTATTAGAAAAAGATTTATCAGCAAACACAGCAGAGCCATGCTTGACCTCCATATCTTCTCTTGTTTCCCAAAGGCAGCACATGTAAGATATTTCCTGTCTTTCATGTTACTGACTGGAATGCATCATGAAGTCCAAATTTGCAACCTGCTGTCTGTTTTAGTCATTAGGCATGACTTTCTTTGTCTCTTGATATGAACTGCAGCCAACTGTTCACTGTTGTAATAATGCACAATATCTTCAGTATTCCCCCTTCTCCTGGACAAATAAACAAAAACCCAGCCAGGCTAAAAGCTGCAGTTCAGTCATCGGCCGAAGCTGCTGTGTCTTACAGTATCTTATTCCCACATCAGCACACTACACTCAGCTCTAGCTCACCAAAACACTAGTCACAGTAGCCTCCACCTGTTATTTAGGGGCCAAAATTCAAGGGTTAATAAACAACAATTAAAAGTAGCTATTAGACTTCAAACAAGCTTATTTGATGACATGAAAGATGGAGGTTACTGCCTGCAGCTTGGTTCTACATTCACTCATCTGTCTACAACATCCACAAATTGTGAACTTTGTATTATTTTTTTAAATTATATCCACTCTGCAGAGACATACCCCAGCTTATTAAACTACTGTATTATCTTTGCCAGCTGTGTATCTTGGAATAATGTTCTCAAAACAGTTACTCAGTATTTCAACCTCTGACCACCTTCAAAAGCAACTGAAGACAATTTTTAAAGACATTAAAATACACATTGCCTGTAAAAGGCAGGTCTGGTTATGCTTTGATGGCCACAAGTGGGACACAAGTACTGGTTATGTCTTTGCTCCACTAATTTTGTATATACACATATTTAGTAAATGTGTTCAAAATGAAAGAAACTCCTAGAATTTGTGACTGTATCTATAACAAGCCTTCTGCAGGAGAGAAAAGAGGAACTAAAACCTGATTTGAAAACTGAATGAGAGGAATCTCACCTTCACAAAAAGTGACCTGTGGGGCTGCTCTGTCACTCCAAAAATAAAAGTTTATTCCATGAGAAGCAAACTCAGTAGAAGTTGACTTCCCACTAATTTTTGTCCCCTAAGTCTCCTTCCAGTGCCCTAAGCCATCTGCTCTCCATGGGAAAGAGTGAATACCTGCAATGGTCAGTGTGGAGCTGGAGCCATGGGCTGGCCCAGCAGCTGCTGTCACACCCATAAGGTAACTGATGGGTTCTGCTGGTGTGTCAGCATGGGCACCAACAGGAATCCTTTCCTTCCATCCAGCTCCCAGTGCTCCTAGCCATCACAGGCAATTAAGGTGATTAAATCCCATCTCAATTAAGATTGCTGAGCCCTTTCCAAGGTTATGAAGGGGAGACTGCCTGGCAGAGTGAGGTCAGACCACAGCAGGCTGCCCTGGTAGGTTACAAGCAACCCATTCCTCTCATTCAGTACAAATACCTAAACCCTCACAATGAAAAAGAAATAAACCAGCCTTTGACTGTGTCTCACAAACAGTTCTGTAGCTGCTTTTTAAATTATAAGACAATTACGTTTTTTTGTACAATAATTTCATATCAATAAGCTGCAAGCAAGTTGAAAAGACCTGAAGGTTAACTCATACAGTCATCTACAAATGCAATCATGTTATTTATCTCTGTCCCTCCTCTAAGTGAAAACTCAGGAACAGGCTTTGTTGTTTTCAATGGTTTGGAATTTCAGGACAGAAAACTGATAGACTCTCTGCCAGTTTTCTCCTTGTTCAGTTAAAAATGTTGGTCTGAAGGAAGGGAAAACACTGAGTTCAGTTCTTCTACAACAGCAAATTCACTCTTTCCCTTTTAGGAAAAGCTGCAGGATCCCAGATGTGAGTCAGCTCTTTGGAAGAAAAGAAGGGAATATTACAAATATTTTTGCCAAGGGGCTTCACCAAGAGGTGGGTAATTCTAATGAAAAGTGTCTACATGGCCATGCCATGCATCTCCCAGGCACACTATTTCCAGCCTTTGCGTGACCATACCCATTTACTTTGGAAGCTGTGAGCTCTGGTGGAGCAGGGATGCTCAGGCAATTTGTACCTTTGTGTTCCCAGATGCAGACCACAGTGTGCAGTCCTTAGTTCTAGACTGTGGGCTGATAGCCTAAATCATTAATTACTTTCCTTATGGCATGAAGTAATTAGTTGGCTCTCATTACCTGTTTTAGTTCTGGATTTTCTCATTAGACAGATCCTAAAAAGATCACTTTGGGTAAGCTTTCATAGTGAGAATTACAAACAGCTTTCAAGCAAGAAGATCCTTGCTAGGAGGCATTTTCCTTTAGTTCAGCCCATTAAATATGTCTGAAAGCAGACAGCAGAAGAATAAGATCTGCCTGACTGACAGACAAGGCAGGCTATCTTATTACCAAAAACTATTTACCTACTTAATGGCTCATGGAAACTTGTGTTCCTACCAGTCACAGGAGTTAGTTTTACGGCTTTATGTGTGGTTAATAAAACCCAAAGAACCCCCATATCTTTAGACTATATGACAAATCATTGTCATAGACAGAGATGCAACTACAGACATGTATTTTGGAGCCAAAGTAATGCCATCTTCCATAAATTGCATAACTCATACCAATTACTCAGTGCCCACAGATTACAGCAAGTTTGATAATGGAAAAAGCACTTTTATCTTTTTCATCCCTGAGAGAAATACAACCGGGCTGAGGGGCAAACCAGAAATCCCTGTTAGGAAAAGCACAAAGCACTGCTGGCCTGACTGCACCTCCCATGGGATTCAGTCAACTGCCTGTAACCATGAGATTGGCACTGCTTAAATTCACAGCTTTCCAGAAGGATGAAGCTTGCTCCCTATTGATCTTTGCCACCATCTAAAGAATTAAGAGAGTGGCTGGTGATGAAGAGCACATCAATCATGTTTATTGTGACAACCATGACTGTTATAAAACAGACTCTCTTACAGCACATGCTAACCTCCCCCATGCTTTTTCTTTCTTTATTAAAAACTTGTTGAACATTTAGTTCAGGTCTCCTGGGACAGATGCCTAGAAAAGTGCTGACTGCAGGAACAAACCCATTTCAGGAGTTGCCCACAACCCACTATTTGCAGGTATGGGTCTAGGTGTAGTGCTGTTCTCACTGCTGCACTCATGCAGTTATTTCTTAAAGAATGGCTTTGAACAGTCTTCAGGAGCAACCAGCTGTGTAGAAACACAGCTAACAGAGAGATATATCTTTGATTTAGCTCAAATATTTGGTTCATCTGAATCTTTATCCTTTATGATGGAATGGCTGAAAAGAGGGAGCAATTGGGAAATTTCTGAACCAAGGTCAGCTCAAAAACAGTCAATATGAAATTATTGTCAAAGCTTACATTCAAAGTTTTCAAATGGGCTAAGAAAAGAACACAGAAGAAATGCCTGTGGGCTGAAAAAAAATGAGAAGGCTTCAAACTAGGTAGTTTGAATTGACACTCAAACTCTTGTCCTGAAAACAACTTCTTCCTGGACACTATGAGGTCTTAACAACCTTTGTTCAAGCAGACAACAGTGGAAGAATGGCTGTAGCTGCCCCTTACCTTCCCTGGCTAAAAATGCACCCTGGCTTGATTTGTTTCCTATGCTCAAAAGCTGCACTGGGAAAGAACAGGACAATCTTGCTAAAAAATGCAAGTGAAAATGTGGCTATCATGAAGCCTTAATGAAAAAAAGTCTTCATGAAACAAGGACTCTTTTAAGAAGTAAACATTATACATGTACCTTGCCACTGAGGAAAGTGGACAGGACTCTGTTTGACAGACCATGGGGAAGAAACAAAATTTCTAGGCAAGACAACCCAAGAAAAATGAGTCTCTAGACATTACACCCAAGTTATTCTCCCTTTGTATAGAGACAGAGAATCAGAGGCCTAAAGTAAATATTTGAGTCATCTGATCCTCATGCTATAGCCACAACTCATTAGATATCTGCTAATTACAGCTTTGAAAGATGCCATGGAGTGACACAAGGCAGCCCTAGATGTATTTAGGTAGTTTTACAACTGAGGAGCATAAGAAACCCTTAGGTTCTTTCCTACAGTCAACAACTCCAACAAAGAGCTCTCCATTAATTGCAACCACATCTTGTCTATTTTTATGTATGAGAAACACTACAGTCCTTGTAAAAACCATAAAACAGCCACTGTCATTAAGAGATGCTATTAATCAAGGCCTTCTTGAGTGCTTCCTCTTCTCAGCTCCCTTGCCTAGCTCTCAGCCCATTGGTTTTTAACTAAAAACAGTGTAGCCATGTGCAGCCCTTGCGGAAAGCTCAGGATTTTGATTTCAGTGCAGGAAACACTCAGCTGGGATCCCTCTTGCAAAGGGGAGGCCATGAAGTGTTTGCAGGCATTCCCAGCAATGTTAATGACAAAAAGAATCAATCTGACAAAAAGGATTGAAAATACCCACTTTGTTCTGAAAGTACTTTTCATACTTTGCTTCCCTCCTCCACTTCTGGAAAATCAGTGCAGCAAGCAGAAGAGAAGCTGAATTCTTTTGGCACGATCCCAAATAGGTTATTTCTGGCATCCAGGAATATTTGGACTCAAGATTAAGAAAAGCTTTCCAAGGGTTAAGGTTGCCTAATGAAGCTGAAGGGTTGTCATTATGTAAGGACAATTTAGACAAGCCTCTGTTAGGAATATTAGTGTAAAGATTCTTCTTTGAGGCAGAAGAATAGATTAAATGATATCCTAAGATATTCTGGTTGTTTCTGAACGCTCAACAACTCAGAAGCACGCCCCTCCCAAGCTGCCACCCTGTATTTTAGCAGCCTTCTGTATACATTTTTAAACTACTTTACCATTCTCCCAGGGGCTCTGCACAGACGTACTTGCAAGCCCTGACGAAGACTGAAAACTCAGTTACTTAGTTATAACAAAAGCAAAAAAAACCCCAACCCAAACCCCAAATGGGATTGTTATCTCATCAAAAAGTAAAAAATGAGGCAGAAGACACACATGCTAAAAGAAGATACCAGAGCCCCAGCAGTAAAAATTACGAGTTACAAGAGCGATATAAATCCTGTTAGCAGGTTGGCAGAAACCTGACATTTCCAATTCTCCATAAAGCTGTTATACATATCTACTGAACTACAAAATTAAGACTAGTTCTGCCAGTTTGAATCATGGCCAATTCAGGCAAGCTGCAAAGCTGACCTCTTTTTGAGTCCATGTTAGACACTTTCACATTGCAGCAGCTAATTTAGTGCTACAATAGATAAGCTTTGAAGAATTACTCTGAAACATTTCTCAAGGTGTCTAAGAAACAGTTAAGCATTGGAGGATAACTTTGGAGTGCCTTAACTCCTTTTTTTCTCCCTCCTGACAAATAAAATAGGAACTTCTTAGATTCACTGCTTCAGGCTCCTAGTTTGAGATGTGCTTCTGAGAACTGTCAATGGCAGCCTGTAGCCAGGTCACCAGTTAGCAGAAACACAGAGAAGAGATCCACAAGGGACCCTGACTAGTCCTTTCCCCTGCCCTAAAGCTCCAGCACACAGGAAGAAGATGGCTGAGTAGGGCAAGCCAGCAATAGCACGGTTCATCCATGTGGTTTTATGGGGCAGTTAACTTTTATTACCTGGTAATTACTGAGGAAGGCTTCAGACAAGCTGACTCTACAGCCCACATGGCAGCAGACTTGTGTGGGCAGTCAGCTCACCAAAATCATGCTGCCAGACTAGTGTTTCAGAAGGGAAAGTCAGTCCATTAGGAAATCCAAGTTCAAGAAGACAAGTTTAGACAAATTTCAATAGTGCCAGAAAAGAATTATGAATACCAACTCTTAAGTTAAAACAAAAAAAAAGAAGGAATTGGAAAAGGCAGCTGAAGAATAGGAAGAAGTTACAAGGTACAACAACAAAAAGTATGAAATATCTTAAAAAAGGTTGGAGGGCATGGATCAGATAACAAAAAAGTGTTTGTGAATAGAAAGGCAAAGAGTTTTAAAGTTGAAGTGGGCAGGCTTAGCTCCATGCTGCAGAGCAGACACTTGTTTATGGCATCACCCCTACAGGCAGGAGTGAACAGGGAAGAGAAGGCCTTAGGAGACATAAAAAAGAATGAACAGTGAACACGATCATTTTTCAAAGGATAAGCAGCACGATCCAGGAGTACAATGGCTATTGCGTTAAAGCAGTGGGTATCATTACCAAAGAAGTCACTCGACATTTCCTCCTCCTTGACTGTTCCCTGCTGTGGTACGATTTCTTCACACAGTTAGTACGTGTGAGCAGAGCACATCAATACTTGTAAAATCAGTGCATTATTCTCTGTAGATGCACGAATGTTTGTGAAATGAGCACTTTCATGAACCTGAGGTTGCTTTCTCTGAGCTAATACCAGTTAACAGGTTTTGATCCTCTGTACCTGTTTTAAACTTTATTTAAATCTTAAACCCAAAAAGATATAAAAAAATCCCAAACCACGTGATAAACATATGTCAAAGTCATATAATTTCCAATCTCTTCTGTTCATTCTTTGCAATAAAAAGCAAAAATTACAGTTGATTTACTGTGCAGTCAAACATTGTGAGAATACAGGAACATGTGGGATCAGTTTAGGTCAGGATCAAAACCCCATAATTTAGCTGAGAGCAGCTTCCAAACTAAGCTCATATTTTTTCAGACTATATTTATAGTGCAGTTACTATGTGCCAGTACATCATTAAATGTCCTAAGAACTAATCCCACCCTATTCTTTATGGGGAGGGTTTTTCCCCTTAAGTCAGAAATACCCATTCCAGTGGAATTCTGAAGGAACCAGCAGCACTCACAGCATTCTGCCCCCATCCATCTCCAGTCCTGATGGCTGCTAAGCTGTCTGCAGCCTTTTCTCATTGCTAGTAAGAGCTCATAGTCTCCTGTTCTCACTTCCTAACATGCACCTTGGCCTGGTTAGAAGCACTGCTTCCCTGGCCAGTTTGAATCGGGAAGTAGAGCTGGCAAAAAAGCAAAAGAGATTTGGGATGAATATGAGTGTCTGGTTCTACCAGCAGCACATCAGCATCAAGGATGCTGTAGAGAAGAGGGAGGGATAAGTTACAGAGGCAGACAAAAATAAAAACGAAAACCTAAAAAGAAAAAAGAAAAGAAAAGAAAACAAAAAACCTCAGAAGCTGAACAATGAACATTAATGCTGTTGTGCAGCCCACTGCCCAGAATTCTGGATGGGGGGAGAGAGGACTGACTCCCATTTCCACCACTACATTTGGGATACAGAGCTCTCTAGTGGGCTGCTCTGTCTGCATGGCACAGATAATGATGCAATTGTCAAACCTTCTGCTTCCTGCTCTGTGTGTTCAGCCACACAGTCCCGGTTCAAAGCCTGATTATTTCCAACCCTGTTGCATTAAAGCTGCAAACTGAGAGGAACATTGTGCAGGAGACAAACTGGCCATGCATCAGAGATCTCAGTTTAATGCTCTTACTAGAGGAATGGTGTGTTTTGATGAATGTTCAGAGCTGAAAACTTAGTCTTACCACACAGAAGTTGCTGTCTGCAGGGAGAGGCATGGGGAGAGTAATGCTGCCTGGAAAAGCAGCCACCTGACTCCATATCTCTCCCAAACAACACTGGGACATGCCGAGACCAGGAAGCAGTGGGAGAATGAGAAAAATCATGTCCCAGACTAAATCAAGAGTCACTCCACTTTGCGAGCCCATAGCTGCTGCAACACCCACAAACACAAAACACTAGCTGAAAACAAACTACTGCAAGACTTTTTTTCTTTTTTCTCCCTTTTTTCTTTCTTTTTTTTTCCCACTTAAATGTGTGCAGAAGATACAGTCTGAGTATTAAATGTTTTTCTAAGAAGAAAATGACGGCCCCAGCAATAAATAACTGGGATTTATAGAGCCAATGCACATACAGTGGCAGGAAACTTTGATAGTTTGCTGTAAGCATTCATGAAGTGGTCTCTAATATCTGACTGGAAAGCACTGCAACATTCAGTGGGATGGACTGAAAGGCAGCCAACATGGCCAGCATCTTGGGTGATTCTATGCCAATAATTACCTTTTATCAAACTTTAACTAGTGATGTCAAAATATTTTTGGCTTGTAGTCATGGAATGGGCAACAAACACACAAGTTTGCTACTTCACACTAATGTATGTTTGGTCTCAAGAGGTTAAGCACTCATCTGTTTCCAAATTGTATTTAATATTTTTTAAAAACCCAAAACTCCAAACCCCAACCCCAAACAACAACAACAAAAAAAAAAAAAATCAAAAAAACCCCAGAACCTTTTCATCCCTGTCCATGCTGTTGAAACATGTCAGCTTGCACACAAATTATGGTTTTCCAGGATTTCTTATCTCTGATATTTCTCATGACATAATGCCTCCAGTTTAGATCTGCAAGGTAAAACACAGTTTTAAGCCTGAATAACAAAACTGAGCCTTCCATCAACATGAATTTGTTGACAGGAGAAAGAAGGTTTAGAAACACAGCTAATATTTGGGCTGAAAACGAGTTCAGATTGGTGCGACACAGCAAGGGGACCGCAATATTTTGGTTTCACAGAAACAAAAAAGAAATAAGGACTAGATTTTTAGCTCTGCTTTCAAACTCTGACTTCAGAGTCAATTAAAAGAATTATTAAAATTATTTTGTGAAGACAACCAAACCTTTAGTCAAGCACAATCCTCTCAGCTGATACTGATTAAAAGGGGCTGTACAGCTCTTCTGATAGCCCAGTCTTAGTGACATTCATTATGTCAGCAGGTACTTTTGTGATTGTGGCTTTTCAACCTGAGCACTGAGAACACCAATAAATTAAATAAAGTTTGCCAGTGATCCTATAGCACCTCTTTTTTCTTTTTATTAAAGCAGTCAGAAAGGTAAAAAAAATCAAACCCACAAATCTTCTACCATCTCACTACTGAGCTATAATACATTAAATCACATGTATGAGTCAACAACATCATGCTGCTGGGAAAAATGGAAAACCATTGTGGGAAGAATAAGCAAGTGTCATCTGTAGAACACATGGAGCTCGTGCTCAGCTTGCTGGGGGGAAGAGGACAGCTCAGCTGTGGGCACCACAATCCCAGGAGGATGTGGGCAGAACACAAAAAACCTGGAGAACAGGGACACAGACAATGATGGGCCTATTAGAGAAGTCTTAGCCTACTTGTGTTGAGGAGCAGAACCCTAACCCAAATCCCCTTTGTGATAGTCCTGGGACATGTGAGGAGCAGCTGGGAGGAAGGAAGAGTTTCCTTCACATCTCCAGTCCCTGGACAGCATTAAGCTCTCTGAAGAGCAGAAGTGTCAGAGACAAGACTGAGACATGCACCCCTGCTGTGACATTCAGTGTAGCAGGGATTGTAAATTTGTGCAATACAACTTGGCTAATTTCTGAGAAGTTCATCGTGATCTTGCTGTGTGTGCTTACTCTAAGTTTTCTTACCCCACTGCCAGAGTGAGAGTGCTCAACTCTCTCTCCTGGTGTCCACTTAGGCCTTCCTTCCAAGCTGCTCCACTTTGCTCTTCCTGCTGTTTACTGTTACTGGCTCATCAGTGGTTTGCATTTCTCCTGAACCATCCCTCCTGGAAGCTGGAAAATGTGATGGGTTCCATTTGCTGACTCAGAAACACTTCCCTTGGAGCAAATAAAGAAACACAATTAACCCGGCAGCTTCTACAGACTGATCAGATTGCACATAGGATTTAACAAACAATTCAGTTAAAATAAGTTATAGTAATTGAAAGTGTCTGAAAGGACAGAGTTCTATTTTTAAATAATTATTTCTTTAATTTTTTAAATAACAACTTTGTATAGTAACATTCAAATGCGAAGCTAAAATGCTTCCAAGCACCACTATTCATTTGAGGCAGCAGCATTCCCATTAGAAATTTTAGGCAAACAGAGGGAGTGGGTATGGAGAGAAAGACAAAAGCCTTTTTCAGAATTAGGTGTTGAAAAATCCAAAAATAGAAACATTTTCCAAACAAATTTTCTACGTGCAAGTATCCCAGTTTCCCAGCAACTCTGTTGGTGACTTAACATTAACTTTGTGGGAAAGCAGCTCTGGACAAGAAGCTAAGAGCTTTTTGGAGTCTATTCATAACCCTGCATTTGCATTTGATAAATTGCTTCATTGTTATAACAACTCCCCTTCAACATGATGATTAATTCTTCTTTACACAAAAAACATTTGGTTTAAAATGCTAATCTTTGAGCATTTTCTCTATCATTACACCAGAACGTCTGTCAAAATGTTTCAAAATTTCCAGAAAGTTAAGGTATTTTCCTCAACTAAAAACCATTTTACATGGGCTAGGTTTCTCTACATGCTATATAAAACTGGCACCAATTTTTATACCATTGTTTTAATAGGTTTAAAACAAAATGCATAATTATCTACATAATTATTTAAAGCTAAAAGAAAGAGTTGTAACACTGTGGTAACCATAACAAGATATACAAAATTTTGTCTGATGTTTTCAATTAATATTCCAGATATTTGTCAATTCCCCTACTGCATTCACAATTTCTTGAAAGAATGGCACAGGGTCCAAGTTTCTTCTAATTTATGCAGTCGTAATTTTTTTTTACATAATGGCGTTATTCATAACAACATGAACAGGACCACACTCTGAGCAAGCTGGATCTTAAAAGTATTTCAACCCAGCTAATGCCAAGGTGAGGGTTTCTTTAGAACTTCTGAACAGAAATTCATCCAGGAAATTCTTCTGCCACAGTTTCAGCAGCGCGTTCTGAGCTACCCAGGCAAGCAAGGTGAGCAATCAAGTGCAAATCTGGTTTCTGCCAGCATCTAACAAAGTTTTTATCATGGCACTCCTCATGACAGGCACAACAGAGCCCAGCCCTAGGCTATTTAATGAAGAGTGGCCTCCTGCTCCCTCCTGGGCAGACCCACCCAAGCAGCTCCTTGGGAATGGGTACACAGCAAGGACCCTCCCACCTGCAGCTTGATAAACACCCAGCCCACATGTGCTTCAGATCCTCTACATTCATTTCTACTTAAAATTCAGCTTTTCCCCAAGTAGTCTGTAAAATTTTTCTCCACTTAACCTCAAATTGCCTTTCTCCCCTGCTCATAACTTGAGCTGAAATGAGGAGGAAAAAAAAAAAAAAGGTTGGTTTGTCTTGGAGCGTCAAGAAGTAAAATCAATTTTGAAACAACTGCAAGACAGCAGAAGTGGGTTTCAGTGGGACTTCTAATGTCCTGTGAATTACACTGGTGCTTAATTAAATTACCTTGCTGAGCCTGGGCCCAAATTAATGTGAGACACACTCCTCAGTGTTTATTTGGCTTGGATAATTAAAGGAAGTAACAAAATGAGGGCTTAGAGCTAATGTAAATTAAAGTTTCAGTAATTAAGTATTTCTTCACTCAAGCACCTGGCATAGCCTATTTGGCGTACATAGTGAACACAGGAGTAGCTGAAAAAAATTCTTCTGCTGCAATCCTCTGATACAGAAACCAAATAGGACAATTCTTAAGAACCAATCCTACCTCGTCCTCATCCATTTGTAAACTATTGCCTTTCAAGCCATTAAAAAACTTTCTATATCTCTTTTGTACCCCCTGGTTCTGGGTTCCATTGGAAACCAGCAAATGGGTGCATGAGCTATTTACTTATTTACTTTAAGCCTGAAAAAATGGAGGAGACTTTGAAAAGGCTGGTGTCTTCTTGAGAAGAGGATGAAATTTCACACTGGCTCTTACTGAAACCAATTCACATATCCCAGGCCTTTCCTCTCCCTACCCTATCTCTCCCCCACCAACATAATTTGCCCATTTATGCTTTAAATCTGGTATAATAACTCCAACTCCCTAAAGACCCTGAACCCATTTCCACACTGTAACATGAGGGCAACTCCACCTAGGGCTGTGAAATGGCATTAGAGTAGTGGAGAATATGCTTTGCAGTATTAACATGAATTAAACTGGAATTGAAAATAAAGACCCCTGAACAGAGTTTCTTTTTGCAGCACTAATAAAATCTGCATTCTTGGCAGCAGCACCCAAAATCTGGCTGGTGCACTGAAAACAGAAACCCTTCCTCTGGCTGGTGTCGCCCCTTTCCTTGCCAGGGCTGCCAAGAACCACAGGTTGCTGCTGGAGAGGAACACCCATCAAGGTCCCTCTTAGTTTGGGGTCCCACCAGAATGAATATAAGCTCAAGGGTACCAGTTCATCTGTCAATGTCCTCAGCTGATGGAAGAAATGGATTTGAACAGGAATAAGTAAATGGGGGGGAAAAGCCCTCTTAAAGTTTTGAAGTTGTTTTTATATGGAGTTCAAGGCTCCAATAAACCTTTCTGCAAGTTTAAATGAAACTGAAAATGTGATAAGCTAGACTCTGTGCTTTGCTGGAATAACCAAAATCTATGGACCACACTCTTTTACTGAAGGAGACTGAGTCAGTGCAGTAACTTTCCTACATTGAATTCCTTATTGATGTTTCTTTGCTGTCACCTGCATTTATCATCCACTGTATACATGTAATTCTGAAATCCATCTTTTTGCAATAGCATCTCTTGTGTTATTCTAGTGAGACATTTGTGAGGATTCCCATAATGACCAGCTACATACAGCTCTCTGTCTCCCACAGGACACAAAGAGGAACGATAAACCATTCAAAGGGAGCCTTGAAACTCTGCAGCAGCACGTCCTGAGAGAAGAAAAAGTACCTGATGATTTGAAGGGCTTCTCTTAAGTTTCCTGCAACATGGCATCAGCCTTCAGATGATCTTCTGGGAGCTCATCAGGTCCCCATGTGCATCATTACTCACAGTACTACACTGTTATGGTCTTCCTACAGCCAGCACAGGCAATGCCAGTAAATAAACCGTGGAGGCCAAATCAGTATTCCTTCAAAGTCTAGGAGAAATACTGCCTCAGAGGGATCGTTGTCTACTGTACCTCACCATTACAAAAGTTGCACTGGAAAAAAAAAAAAAAAAAAAAGATGTTGAAAAGAAAGTTAAAAACAAAAAAAAGGGGACTCCAGGGCTGTGTCATCTGAATTGCTGTTTCTGGTATTCAGCTCTCAAGTCTCCTGTCACTATCTGGAAACTTTTTAGAATCGTTAGAGTGGTCTAATATCTTCTGCTAAACTTGAACTCTCTTCAGCCTGCAAACAACTCTGTATGGCCAGGTCTGCCTTGTTTCTTCCTGTCGAGAGGAAAACTTAACACCTCGCATTTCAAAAATCTCATGGATATCCCAAGTGTCCAAAGCCCTACCATGCATTATCCCCTAGTCTCCCAAACCAGCAAGTGGATCCATTCAGGAATAAACCCACCCAGCTGAGAAGTCCATTTTTAACTCCTTTGTTCAGGTAACATAGCCAGGTTAGCAATCAGTCACCTTTCTAAATGACAAATATCCTGTGCTACAGACAGGAAAAGTGCATCATCTCTTACATCACTGGATTTTAACCCCAGCCCTCTCAATTTCCCTCTTTAGGACATCAGCCTATTAACTGACACAGAACACTTCAGAATAACCTCCTGTCAGAAGAGTGCTTCTTTTGCAAATAATGGATCAGGCTACTTTTTTACCAGTACTTTATCAGTGTCTGTCCAGATCCCTCCCAAGTGTTCCAGCTATTGCCATTCTCAACTGCACACTGAGAAATAAGGGCAGGAAATGGACTTAGCTGAGGCCACAAAACATTTATCTTAATACTTGTCTGCTAGATTACCATGTTTATTTAAAGTGGCATAATAGTCTGCAGTTGGAAGAAAAAAAAACAACTGTAGGGATTTCCCAATGCTTTTCAGTTCTCACTGTTTTCCCCTGGTGATTTTGATTTCTCATCAGCAAATATAAAGATGAAACACTGTTCCATGTGGTACTCTCTTCACTGCCAAAATGTACACATGGTACTGGAGGGTTAACTCACATCACCTACTTCCCTTGGAAAATTAGTAGGCTGATCAATAATCCTTACTCTTTGGAGGCTTTAGGAACATATAAATAGCATTATTTGCAAATGTCTTTTTAGCTCATGCAGCTGTTAAGATATTTTTATATTTGTTACCCACTTCAGACATGTGAGTTATTCTCATACTTTAATCAGGAAGTAGCTGGTGTGATCAATATATAAGCTTTTGTCCCACACCTACTAGAGAAAACATTCTTGTCCAAAAAAATATGCTGCTTGAGGTCAGGATCACAGAACTGCATCCAGGAATCATTACCTGAATCCAAGAACACTAAACTTGACTACTTGCTATGAGACACTGAGTTTTACAAATTAACGTGGGTTGTGATCTGCCAAAGCCTTAATAAACTCCATTTATATACATTATAAATTTCTTTCAGAGTCTTGTGGAAAAAATTACTTTTCTTGCAAAAAAAAAAAAAATCCCTAAAATACAAACTTTTAGGGAATCATACTTCCCAACTGCATGAAAGCCCACCAAGGATATTACTCTAGCCACAGAAATCACACTTTTGAAGATCAATATCCTAACAAATCTCACATCAGAAGAATAAATCAATCCACCTAAAAGTTGTGGATTTTGCTTTGAAATGCATTCCCCTTATCTGCCAAGTTCATTTCTCTGAATGAGCTTCAGTGTGAACGCAGCTTTTTTGCAAGTCAGGGAAAAATGGCAGTCATACAGAAAAACATTCCCTAAAGACTCCCTTGTTGTGTGTAGAAGCATTAATAATGAGTTATCTCTATGGGTGGCATTTCAATATGACACACCCCAGTGTCATTCTTTGGTTTTCTGGGGATTTATGCTTTGTTTTTATAGCCACTTAACCTCTCTGTATCACCATGATATCAGTCAATCACATGCAGAAATAAAAGAAAAATCATCTTTTTCTCCAGTGCTACAGCATGCAGCACAGTGGAGGAATAATAAACTCACAACGCTCCCTATTTCCCTTGGAAAATTATTATGCTGGCTAATAAACCTTACAGTTATGAGGCTTTTATGAACTTACAAATCCTGCAGTAATTTCAAGTGCATGGGCGGTTTGTTCAGCTGTTTGAACACTTCTCACCTCAGTCACCCTTTCTCCCTGTGAACTCACACCCCAGAAATGCTTTGCATAAATGAAAAAGAACTGTGTGATTGAAAGTGTATGAGATTCCTGCACATTCACTCCTTCCATGACTAATTAGAGGGTTTGGGTTTTTTTTTTTTTTCCTTTTCTAAGTGGAGTTATGCTGTCAGAGGCTAAAAACTGGGAAGTTTGGTGCTTAACACACTGGATTTATTATCTGATCTTCAGGTGAACTACTTAAACCTCTAGTAGTCTAATTTTACCAACTGTAAAACACAAATAACAGTCATCACCTATCTTTAGGTGTCTTCAGCCATTCCAGGGAAAACACCATCCCAAGGCCATGGGGATGTGCCAAACTTGTACTGTGGGATCAACTTCTTCCTCCAACCTTCCACAGAAATTCTTGCCCTTAGGAAAGCAGAGAATGCAGAACATGCAGAAAACCCTACCTTATTTCTTCCCATTAAAAAGGCTTAAAATAGAAATAAACTACATACAGTATTTTTCAAAACACTGCAAAAAACCACTGTATCAATTTCAGTAAAGATCATGTAGAACAGTAAAACATGAATGAGTTTGAATAAATATTTATAAATAAAGAAAGAACTGTTCCATACAACAGCTTGTGCCAATTTATCCCTCTCCACCTGAAAATAACTAAGAAAACTGGAAATAATGGGCATCCTCAGAACAAGTGGGAGCTGCAAGGCATCATCCTGTGATTTTTCTGAACAGCATTTCCCTCTCAGGCTGCTAATGGGATCCCCTTGGACACACAGTCAATAAATGTCCTAGAAAATATGTTTTCATTTCATGAATGATTTTCTTAACCAGGGTGAATGTGATACTTGGCCCTTTCAGTACTGTAAATAGCTGAGAAAAATGTGTCTTCAACAAAGGAAGAATGACATGAAATTCATTCTTACTGACACAAGGACATTCCTGAATGTCAGAACACTCACCAGTACATTTGGGGACTTGAAAACTTCTGTAATGCCAGCTGAACAAGTCCAGCTGCATCATTTACCTGGTATTCAATGCAAAGAAACACATTGTGCTATGTCTCTTCCCTGGCATTCACTGCAGGCAAGAGATTTTTGTTCTTTATTTTTCATATCAGAATTTAGAAAAAAGACCCAAAAAACAAAAAACAAAGAACCTTTAAAAATTACCTCTCCAGTAGATACCATCATTATTCCTTTTTGAACAGGGAGATGTGCTTTACTTTGGACACAACATTTTAAGAGATTCTAAATCATTGCAAACATCAATCACAGGAAGGAAATGAAGTTCTGTTAAGCTTTGCACATCTATATTCCAGTGCATACAAAAATCACAGAGCACACCTCAATATATTTTCAGAATACTTGGCAACAATATGCATTGAATATAATCATGGCTGCATGTTGGCTCTTTGTTCCTATACTCAGAAGTGGAAGATTATGAAGTGCTGTCTTTCATCTTCTGAAGTTTGTAGATTTTTTTTCCTTTAAGTATACACATTACAAGGTTTGCAGAGGGTAAAGTCAACAAACTGCCCAGCAGCTGGAACCCAGAGCATAGTAACCAGCTCCTGTTGGGGCTGAGTCTCCAGCTCCAGATTAGTCACCAAGAACGCTGAGCCCTCGGACAGAGGTGCTTTGTTCTCATCCCAGAAAACCCCAGCGCATCCAGGGAAGCTCAGCTCACAGAGGCCTCATTGCAGAGTTTTGCAGTTGTGTTTAGGGCTCAGTTTAAAGCTGGGAAATTCACAATGACCTGAAGTGCTACATGCCAGCATTATGCTCTCAGTGCTCAGCTGGGCTGTCTCTCAATGCTCAGAGCAGTCCAGGCTGCTGAGATTTAGAGGCCTGGGACACAACTTAATTTACAGCGCATATCAGACAAGAGCTTGTGTTGATGATCATCCCTATAAAAGCTTTTTATATGCATATAAAATAGATTAACTCCCCACACCGTGGGTTGCCTTGAACATTTCCTGATCTATATTTACATTTCTTTGGCCTGGTGAAGAGAAAGTCAGCACAACACAGAGAGGTCCTTATTTATACCCCACAAAACATGTACCTATGGGAGAAGGGATACTAAAGTTCATATACCTACTCAAGGAGAGCAGTGTTGGGTGACAAGTTGGCATTGCTGCTCCCAGGTCTGCTTTTTAAATGGTTTTCCATTAGAGCAAGATTTTATCACATCAGCTTAAAACGTTATGGTGAAAATCATTCCCTTCACTAGAAGAAAAAAAAAGACATCCAAATTAATTAAGGAGGCAAAATAAAAATTTTATATCAGACTATTTAGAAATTCACACCATGAGAAGCAGTTTAATTTACTGCTCTCAAATGTGAGTAAAATTGGAGGATCTGACCTGGAAAAAAAAAGTTCATGCAGTCTTCATGCTGCACAAGCATGGCTGAATTTGACACTTTATCTGACACTTACAGAAAGGATGGTAACATTCTCTTTTCCACACAGACAGCTGTCATCTTCATAGCAGACTAACTTTGTGTTCTCACACCTGAAGATCTCCAGTCCATGACTGGGACTCAGTCCTGATCAAGCAGTTAACTTAAGCAAACGTGTCACCCTTGGAAGGGCCATAGCACAGTGCAGTCCCTTGCACACAAAATATCTTTTCTCCAGCTCCTTGCCTCATTTGAAGTCCAACCTGAACACCATATGAAGGCTGAGCTTTCAGAGTCAGGAGGAAGCAATTAAAAGATGTATCGAGCACATGAATACTTCCAGGGAAAAAATGAATGCTCTGTAGCAATCCCTCACCTCTTTAAGAATGAGAATGTAGGCTTTGCCCAACAATAAAAGTTTAATGGCAGTTATTTTACACGGTGTCAGAGTGAGCCCCACACTGATCATCTGCTGAACTGAAATTCAAGACATTTAGATGCTCACCACTG